CCCCAAATCTCCAGGCACCTCCCAGCCCAGAGCTGAAAAACCCTACCTGTAGCACATAACATGATTCAGAGTTGTCCAAGATGTTCTTTTTATACCGTTATTTTTTATCTCAGCAATGTAACTATTGCACAATCACACCCCTGGGCATCATCACTTACAGGTTAGATTCTCCCCACTGCATCTATAAGCATATGCTGACAAAGTGGATCAATCCAGTCAGCGAAATCTCTCTCACTCCTGCCCCATCAAGGCATTTACACAGCTGAGGCAGCCCCCCCACCCCCCACCCCGTGGCTGTTTGACTAGGTTGCCTGGACCGGCTCTCCAAAGTGCTCTAGCTGGGAGGGGGGGGCAGAGCACCCACTTGCCAAGCCGAAGGCCCCAGCATCAACCCCCCACGTCTCCAAGCAGCTGGGATAGAAAAGGCCAGAAACAGCTGCTGTTCAGCACAGAGAGGCCTGGGCTAGGGGAGGCTGTTCCTCAGAGGGAAGCGTCAGTACCAATGCTCCCTCTAAGCTGTGGAGCCTTGTGAGCAAAAATTCTACTTTGTGAGCTCCTGGTATTAAAGTTGTGAGCCAGCGACTTGGCCGCTGCATAAATTAGTTTGCTCTGGAGCCATCCTTCCTGAGCTAAGACAAAAAATGTGTGAGCCGGAGGTTAAAAAACTGTGAGCCAGCTCACACTAACTCAGCTTAGAGGGAACAGTGGTCAGTACATCTGCCTGTCTTGAGTCTGCAAACTGGCCATAGCTCTGCGATGGAGAATGTGCTTTTGTATGCCCGGAGAGTCCCAGCTTCAGCCCCCATTTCAAGTATCTCAGGTGGATAGGGTTGCCAAATGAATTTTGGCCTGGAGCAGGGGGCTCCCGGCCGGCAATTCCGTGCAGGGCGAAAGTCGGGCCTTGAAAGCAGGGGGAAATCCGCCCCCCGGGGGGATTTGGGAACCCTACAGGTGGGACCGGGGGGGGGCAGGAAGAGCCAGTCTGGTGTAGTGGTTAAGAGCGTGGACTCTAATCTGGGAGAACCGGGTTTGATTCCCCACTCCTCCACTTGCACTTGGCTGGATGACCTTGGGCAAGCCGTAGTTCTGATAAGAGCCGTTCTTGAAAAAGAGCAGTTTCTGTCAAGAGCTCTCTCGGGCCCACCCACCTCACAGGGTGTCTGTTGTGGGGAGGGGAAGGGAAAGGAGTTTGTGAGTCTCTCTGAGACTCCCCCTTGGGTAGTGAAGGGCCATGGGGTATAAATCCAACCTCTTCTTTTTCTTCTCTTGTCTGCCCTAGGCCTTAGGGCTGAGCTACACATTCAGGCTTTCAATGAGCTGGACACAGATTCCCTCGGGTTCCTTGCTGCCAGTGAATGGATTGCTAAAAATAAAGGAGAGCCCAGTTGGGCTCAGAACCCCTCTGCAGGAGGAAGAGGAAAGGGTCCTGCCCCCCTGCCGCCATTTCCCCATGTGGGGGCTTTTCAGTTTCACTGCTCCACTGGACCAGAAAAACAGAGAAACAACCCACCTCTACATGGTCTCCAGTGTGGGGAAACAGCTGGGGGGGGCAGGAGCTGTTCTCCCCCCCCCCCGGCAGTGTTCCAAGCCCCTTTGGGCTCTCCTTTACTTGTTAGAAGGATTTCGGCGCAGCTGCTGTGTGGCTGCAGGGAACACATGAGCTGGGTCTGGGGAACTGGCACCCGACTCATTTAAGAGCCCAGCTGTGCGGCTTGGCCCTTTGAGGGCTGCTGCCAATCAGGGGAGAGCCCTCGGCCCACTGGGTGAGGAGGGGCCAGTGAATGTCCGATGGTCGGGGACTGGAACGGTGCGCTCAGTGGGCCCCTTCCCTCTTTCCATCACTTGGACAGACTTCCTTGAAGCCTCAGGTCTGGGGTGTCTTCAGGAAGGGGTGGTCCGAACACAAGTGAAAGCGATCTTGTTCCACGCCTCCGTCAAGGGATAGCTGGTTGGCCCCACTCCTGGCAGAGTACAGGAGATGACGGGCTGTTCATTCAATTCAGAGACAATCTCTCTCGCCAAGAGGAATAGTGTGTGTGGGGGCGGTAGGCTTTTCTTGCCATTTTAAGGCCAAGTAGTGAATGCAGGAAGAATACACAGGGGCCATTTCCTGCAGGAGCGCACAGGAGCGGAGCTCCGGCAGTAAAGAGCCCAAGGGGTGGGCACATGCAACAAGCCCCACCCCCTGCTCCCAGCAGCCCTCAGTCAGAGCAAGAAGTAGCCAGGTAAGTTGCAGAGGACCCCCCCCCCAGGTCCAAAACAGTCCAGTGTTGCCTTCTGACACACTTCTGGTGCTGCCAGGGGGCGTGGCATATGCAAATAAGTTATGCTAATGTGTTATCCTAATGAGCTCCTGCACCTCTCTTTCTACGGAATGACCCCTGAGAATACATAACAAGCTAAAATGTGAACAAAGAAGAACGTGCTGTAAAGTCACAAGATCTCATGGGGACCCCAAGTGTGGGGTGTTCAAGGCAAGAGGCCTTCAGAGGTGGCTGGCCATGGCCTGCCTCTGCGTAGCCACCCTCCTGGGCTTCCTGGGTGCTCTCCCAGCCAAGTACTGACCAGGGCTGACCCTGCTTAGCTGACGCGCTCAACCCAATCTGGGGTATTCAGACAGCTGGAATATGAAAACTAGAGTGTTAAGACCAGGACTGTCAGCAGCAACTTTATATGGAAGACCGGAGAAGCAAGAAACAGGAAGAGGTAGGGTTGCCAGGTAGGGTTCCCTCCTGGCCACTGGTGGAGGATGGGGGGGGGGTAGGGATGCCAGTTCCAGGTTGGGAAACTCCTGGAGATTTGGGGGGTGGAGCCTGGGGAGGACAGGACCTGAGTGGGGTATAAATGCCATAGAGTCCCCCCTCCAAAGCATCCCTCTTCTCCAGGGGAACTGATCTCTGTAGTCTGTAGATGAGCTGGGATTCTGGGGGATTCCCAGGTCCCACCTGGAGGGGGGCATCCCCAGGAAGAGTCCACGGAATGTTCAAGGTTAATGTTTTTATGGGAATATAAGCATGAGAAGGTTATGAGCTCCTTCACTGGACGTGTGGAGTGGCCTGGAAGCTGGGAAGTAGCATTAGACAGACTTCCAGCAGGAAAACTGTATTTTCTTTTGTGCAAGAGTGAAACCCTCGGAGAAACTTTTTACCAGATTTTTACTAAAGTTGGGTAGAGTTACCAAATCAGTCCTGGGAACTGCCAGTAGGTGCAGGACACATCCACAGCATCCGATGGATTCCTCGCTTAGCAGAGGAAGTTCAGCAAAAGAAATTAATGGTAACATCAGCAAAGCTGTGGATTAATTTGACAAGCAAGACAGAGTCCATCAAGGCCAGACTGGACGTGATGGAGTCCTTGCGGCTGTCTTTATAAAGGTCATGAAGGCCTGATCCAGACCAGGTCATGTGTTTCCCCCCCTCCATGCCTTATTAAGGGCCAAAACAGCTATACACAGAGAGAGAGAGAGAGAGAGAGAGAGAGAGAGAGAGAGAGAGAGAGAGAGAGAGAGAGCGCATGACTATTTCAGCACATGAAAAGGCACAGTGAAGACAAGAGCACCGCACTGTAGGTGCAGCTTTTAAAAACTGCAGCAGCATCCTTGTGGCGGCCACAAGAATGCCATCGTACCTAGTTTGGCCCTCAGTTGAGGACTCAGGGAATGTTGTGATTTTGCGCTTCGGCACTTCACTGGGGAGTTCCCATTTGCAGCCCAGTCTCAGGTCTGAAACATGCACAGCAAAGAAAGTAGAATGAGACAGCCTAGAAAGCAAAAACAGAAAAATACAGAGGGGAACCCTTTTTGCCCCTCCAACTCCCCCCCCCCATTTTTCCATTGGGGGAAAAAAATCCTGATGCATTTGCTCTTTAGAGATTAGTAAAATGCTTTTAAAGGGGAGGTTTTACTCCCTCTAAATGAGAAGCATGAAGATTCTCTTGCATATAAATCTACAGCATTAGAGAATGATAATGCTTGTATACATCTACAGCATACACAATATTTTCAAGAATATATTTTTGTTTAAGGGTGACAATTTTTGTCTACAATGATGCTATAATGTGTTATGATAATAAACCATTGAAAAGTCCAGGTGTTTTCAGTAAACAGCCAAATACAGTTCTTGTCCTATTGAGGCCACTTTTATCCAAATAATACATTTCAGTTTGCGCAATAAAAAGGGTTTTGATTTTCAACTTTTATTATCTCCCTGATGGCAAAAACTAAGACACATGAGCCATTTGCAGATCTCTCTCACTCTCTAATGTTGGGCATATTGAGAGTTTTTTCTTGTAGAAATAAGACTTCACACTTTAAAATTCCATCAATATACCAAATGGTACAAGTTTATATGTTGTTTGTTGTTGTTCAGTAGCACAGTCGAGTCCGACTCTTCGCGACCCCATGGACCAGATCACGCCAGGCCCTCCTTAGTTTATATACTAAGTGATAAATTTTATATTGTTAATGCATTCAAATAAGTTCCGAATCAATAAGACAATAAATATTGCATGTATTTTACTTTTTCGTCCCAATGTCCAGTCCCCAAAACACATTTTCCCCAAACACAACCAACACCCACCACCGTGTTGATGTCATTTGGTGTCCCCTTTCCCACCATGGCCGCTCTGAAACAAAAAGAAATCAAGACACCCTTTGAGACATCCCCTCTGCGTCACATCTAGTTTCCACCCTCAGGAAGCTTCCCCATTGCTGTAACACAAACGAGCCACAGCCAGGTGGCTGAACAAGATTCCCAGGATTAGCAAGCGCAGAACAGATTCTGCAAAATGAATTGGCTTGTTTTGCTGTAACTTATTCAGAGTGCAGAATTTGATTTATTTGGGTGCAGGATCTTTTTTAGGGGGTTTTTTTAGATAGAAAGTGCCAAATGCATGCAGCTGGTTCAGTTTCTCATGCAAGGGTACCAAAGATTGTGAGCACGAGAACTTTCCCTGGAGTGACCAATGAGCCACTGGTGTTTCTTTTGATCCCTGCTCTCCAGATGAAACTTCCCTCCTCCTTCTCCTGCCTTCTGCTGCTGAGCTTCGGCGCCTGCTTCCCTCCAGACGATGGCTGGATGCCCGGGAGACACCCCGGAAAAGCGTTTGTGGCCACAGAAGAGCAGCCTGGCCTCTGGGGCATTGCTGAGCCCCCAAAGTGGAGGCGTTCGGCTGAAGACCTCCACTCCCTCTTCAGCATAGCTAAGGAGCTCCAAAGCTTTGGGAAGGAGAGAGCTGGCATCCAGTTCCGATTCGGGAGGGACCGAGAAGATGAGAACGAGGCCGTCAATTACCTGCCGGAGGAAGTGGGCATGAAACGAGGCGATACCTTAGGGAGCCTGGCGGAGGAGCTGAACGGCTACAGCCGAAAGAAGGGCGGGTTCAGCTTCCGCTTTGGCAGGAGGGTCGCGCAGATCTGAAGGCCTCTCCCATCCAGAGCGAGTGGCCCTGCCTGGTCGTATTCTTCTGTGCCGCATCTCCCCATGAAGACCAACAGACACACACACCCCACCTGCCTTCTGCCCGCTGCTCCAAACCAACAGCTCAGCTCGGCCTGTCCTCTCCACTGACTCCTGCCCTCCACGGACATCTCCTTCCCTCCAGCCCCAGTGGGTCTTTGAGATGGGTGCTTCAAGGCCACTTCTGGCCACAGGGAAAACTGGGGTGCATTCTTGGCCCTGCCCCTTGGTCTGTGCAAAGCAGCGGTGAGGCCCCAGAGGCTGCTGGGCTGCTGGACGCCTGGCCTTTCCCCAGGAACCCTTGGTGACTCACTGGTCCTCCTCAGCAGGCAAGTCCATTTGAAGAAGGTTCCCTGAAGGTAGAAAGTTCAGAACAGGCCTCCCTTAGAGGACTGGCAACATGTCTGCCTAAAGCAGGCTTTAACAGGGGGGAGGGAGAGAGAGTTTGAGCACGGCTGCCTGACCCTGTCCAAGCACAAAGAGAGAATGAGAGAAACAGATTAAAGTCCTTCCCCCCCAAACTCCTCCAGGGGCTGGGGAGCCAGTCCTGTATTCTGGACCTAGTACAAGTCTAAGGAAATGGTGGGGAGTTCTGTTAAGCATCCCACCTCCTGGGTTTTGGATCACCCGGCTTGGAGAGCCCTTTCTGCCCAACGCAGGCCTAGGAAGCCCGAAAGGTCGCCTCCTGGCACACAGGCACGTGAAGCTGCTTGGCACAGGGTCTGGCAGCTGGTCCCTCCCGCTCGGAACCGTCTGCTCTGAAACTGGGCTGCTGCTGTCCAGGGTCCGTCCCTTCCTAGGGTTTCCTCCTGGAGATCAGATCCCTGGAAGGGAGGCAGCAAGGAATTATCTGGGATCTTCCGGGTTTTCGAGCCGTACCACCTGCCCCCCAAGCCCAAAAGGCCACCGCCAGCTTATGAGTAACTCAGATTTACGTTCTCCGGGGGTTTGTGCAAGGCAGGGCTGTCTTTCAGGACCAGCCGGCGAAGCACCTACAGGAGTCCTTGTGTGTGTGTGTCCCCCCCCGCCCCCCCAGTCCTGCTCCCAGAGACCTTGCCTAGAACCCAGGACCTCCTCCATGCAAAGTTGTGGCTCATGTCTTCCGTCTTCCCCATTCCCCAATGCCGGTCTCCTGCGGGGGCTCTTCAGTTCCAGCCCCCTCCCAGCAGCATCTGTGGGGATGCAGGGGCTCCTGCAGGGAGAAGAGCGGGGTGGAGCACAAGCGTCTCTGAAAGACAGCCGGTGCTCTGCTCCCCGTGGCGCAGGGTCCCCCGCACTGGCTGACCTGCTGCGTTCCTGTTCATTCAAGAGACCTGGCCAGTAACCCTGTGAGGAGCATGAGCATCTCCCAGACCATGCCCCCCCCAATACGCTGCATGTAGCAGGGGGTGATGTTCCTCTGCAAACAGAAAAAGGTTGCAAGCCACAGACATGAAGAAAGAATCGAGCCCTTCCTTTATTACACAGTCCTGCCGGGGGGGGGGTGTGTGCAACAAAAGTCCCATCCACCCCATCTGTTCCTGTAGCAAAATGTCATCCAGTGGCCACTGCCTCAAGGATCACGAGGCGTGGGGCTGTTCCACAGAAAAGGGCCCAAGGAAGCTTCTGTGCCTGCACAGCTGCAAAAGGCTGCCCGCCATGTCTGCCCGACGCCTCTGACTCAGGCCCGCTTTGCTAAAGAGCTGCCAATCCGCCTCCCCCCAGCACAAGTGGGGCCCAGACTTTTTAAGAGCATAAGAACATGGGCAGAGCCCTGCTGGGCCAGACCCCTGAGGGCCCACCTAGTCCAGCATCCCGTCTCACACTGTGACCAACCAGTTCCTCCGGAGGGTCAACAGCAGGGCAATGAGGCCGAGGCCTTCCTAAGAACATCAGGAGAGCCCTGCAGGGTCAGACCTGTGAGGGCCCATCTAGTCCAGCCTCCCTTCTCAGACAGCGGCCAACCAGTTCCTCTGGTGGTCCAAGAACAGGGCAGAGAGCCCGAGGCCTTCCCCTGATAATGCCTCCTGGCCCTGGGATTCAGGGGTTGACTGCCTGTGGATGTGGAGGTTCCCCTCAGTCACCAGGGCTAGTAGCCATTCCAGGAGTCTATCTAATCCCCCTTCAAAGCTGTTTATTCCGGTGGCCATTACAACCTTCCCTGGCAGTGAATTGTTCTGCGCAGCCCCCTGGCCTCATGTCACTCTGAGGCGGGGGCCAAGGGGGGAGAGTGGGCGAAGACGACCCCAACCCCACTCTGGAGCAGAAGGTGGGTGGGCGGGACTGCTCAGAACTGCTCATCAAAGTGCCGCCGGTCTCTGTGGGGGCCGTCGGCAGCTGACATCCGGAATGATGGGCTCAGGCCAGAGAAATGGGTCCCGCCGGGCTCTGACATGCCGCTTCTGGAAGGTTCCGGCTCTCTGTCCCATTAACAGCCTTTGCTTGGTCCTGTCAAGACGAGGAGGGAGGGCCTTTTTGGAGCTCCGCCGGTGGGGGCGAGCAGATTCCCAGCAAGATCTAAAGGCTGTTCAAAAGTGAGAGTTAATGGCCTTTAAAGATGGAATCGCAACCAAAGGAGAGGGAAGACACAGACAACCCAGCCGAGCAGAGCATTTCAAGCACACCGGCTGCAGTCCCTTTTTAAAACAGGACAGCCACAGATCAAACTGTCAAGCACATTTCCCTCCCCCACCCCAACTTCAGGTTGCCAACCTCCAGGTGGGGCCTGGAGTTCTCCTGGAATCACGACAGCTCTACGGAGAACAGAGACCAGCTCCCTGGAAGACGCGGCAGCTTTGGAGGGTGGCCATCACACCCCTGCTGAGCTCTCTCCCCTTCCCAAGTTCCGGCCTCGAATCTCCAGGGATCCACCAACCCACACCCCACTGGGTCTTAAGGGTTTTGTGCCTTTGAGATGCTCCTTTCATCACTGATAGTAATCACTCTGCGTTGAGGAGAAGGGAGGCCCATTCCAGAAAGGAATGTGGAAAGCGGTAACTCAAAACGGTGACATTGGATGTAGGGGGGGGGGGAGGAACCATTCCTCCTACACTGACCATCTTCCTACATTTCATTTACATCCCTCCTTTCTCCCCAACAGGGACCCAAGGTGACTTACATCAGTCTCCTTTCCTCCACTTTATCATCACAACAACCCTGTGAGGTAGCTTAAGCCGAGAGCATGTGACTGGCCCAAGGTCACCCAACCAGCTACTGTGGCACAAGTCAATTCAAACAGGGCCTCCCAGAGCCAGTTTGGTGTAGTGGTTAAGTGCGCGGACTCTAATCTGGGAGAACCGGGTTTGACTCCCCACTCCTCCACTTGCACCTGGCTGGATGACCTTGGGCAAGCCATAGTTCTGTCAGAGCTGTCCTTGAAAAAAGAGCCGTTTCTGTCAAGAGTTCTTTCAGCCCCACCTGCCTCACAGGAAGGGAAGGGAAAGGAGATTGGAAGCCACTCTGAGACTCCCTTGGGTAGTGAAGGGCGGGTTATAAATACAATTTCTTCTTCTTCTTCTTCTTCTTCTTCTTCTTCTTCTTCTTCTTCTTCTTCTTCTTCTTCTTCTTCTTCTTCTTCTTCTTCTTCTTCTTCTTCTCATCTGACACTTTAACCACTACACCACACTGCCTCTTCCTATATGGCACCTGCCACTCAGAAAAGGCTCCCGGTGGCTTGGAAGCAAAGCTGAAATGAGGAGGGCCAAAGAGGCCGCCACCGTCCCTTGAAATCCCACCAGGCACAAACAAGGATCCTACACACACACACAAACCAGGCTGGGAGAGTCTCCCATTTCCCGCAAGCTCAGCATAACTGCAGCCTGCCCGGCCAGCTCCGAGATCCAATTAGGGAAGGAGGCCTTTTATTAAATGTTATTAAAGCGCTCGCAAGCGATAAAGTGGCTCAGACACTTTCTCCTGAGCCCTCCCCGCCAATTGCACGCGGCTGTCAGGTCACATCTACCTCTCATCAGTGATCGGGCAGCTTTTCTGCTCGCCTCAGGATTTGCCCCCCGTTTAGAAGCCAAGTGGCAGGTCGGGGGGCAAAATGTCGCAGGGAAGCCGGGAAGCCCCCCCCCCCCAGCCAACCGGTTGCTGGTGGCGAGTGAGCAGGCGAGGCTGCCAGCCAGCACAGCAGAGAGCAGGGCCCTTCCACCACAGGGGCAGGCGGGAAACGGCAGCAGCAGGATCTGGAGCCTGCCCCGCCAGAGCTGGAATGGAACCTGGGGCCTTCCACACGTGATCCAGGCGCTCTCCGCCCCGGAGCTGTGGCCCGGCCTCCCTTGCACCCAGCCAAGCCTCTCCAGCTCAGCACTTGCCTGCTCTGACTGGCAGCCGCTCTCCAGGATCTCAGGCAGAGAAAGGTCTTTCTAAAGGGTCCCCGCTGCAGACAGAACCCCGGGGGCCTCCTGCACGCCCCGCGAGTGCTCTCTCTGTGCTCCCAAGGCTTGGAAGGAAGAGCACGGACACTGAGGAAGGGGCTCCCGTTCCCATGCTGGTGAGCACGCTCACTCCTGCTCCAGCCACTGTCGAAATCTGGCCTCTTCAGCGTTAACCTTTCCCTCCCAGGATGTTAGTGACAGGCCCACTGCACAGACCACGAAGGCTAGCTGCTCGCAACAAAGGGTTCAGATACAGTTCCGCAGCAGACTCAAGGCTTCAAACCCCCCCCCTTCCTAGTGCTAAGCTCAGTTGTGTGTGTCAAGGAACAAGCTAGTGGGACACTGGGGGCCTTTCTACTAGCCCTGCAAACTCCAGGTTGGGGAATTCCTGGAGATTTCGGGGTGCAGCCTGAAGAGGGGGGCTATTTGGGGAGAGGAGGGGCCTCAGAGGGGGACCCTGCAGGGCCTTCTGGGGATCAGCTGGAATTCCTGGAGGGCTCCAGCCTCCCCCGGAGGTTGGCCACCCTACGCTGCACAGGCTGAGGTGGGGGAGGGCACTGCCCCCAAAACATCCCTGAAGGGCGCCGAGGTGTAAATTGGGTG